TATTTTTTCTTTTTTTTTTTGGGAAGGGAAGACATCACTCGCTGTGGAGTAATCGAATCAAGAAGAACCGTTTGAAACTGCTTGGTATGTAGCCGCAATGTAGCCATGAGCATCCACATGATGTTCACCATCCATGTGTCTCTTTTCAGGTTCCGAAGTCCAACAGTTCTAGAAGACTCACTGGACTTGTCAAGGCGAGTTGATTCTATTTCTTCGGCTCCTTCCAGGTTCGCAGCGTCTGACAGACCTGGGCAGGTCCTGCTGTACCAGGGTGGGGTGGCATATTTTTTTTCAGCCCACGATTTCGATGGCGTTCGGTGGTGGGACCAGGTGAGCATTCCGAAAAGGTTCCGAAAAGGAAGGAGGTGGTTGGACCGTGTTGTTCTTCCACACCCGGAAGGCAACCCAAAAACCCACGTCCAGGAAGTGGTTCGAAACAGGTGCAGTTCTTGTTTCACCGGCCGATTCCTCCGGGGTCCAACCGGTTTGTCACCGGTCACACGCTGTCGCCACGCCGAAGACGTCTGACCGGAGCAGCGCGTCGATGCCCAAGGTTCATCCGGGGACATTTGCACATCCACTCCTTCGACAGTGAAGACGCTGCGCTCAAGCAGCTTGGCACGAGAAGAGGCTTGCTGCCTAGCGCATCTGAGCGCCAGTTTTGACTCAAGCATGTTCCAGAGAATACCTTTCAGATCCTAAAGGAGCGACTTCACTCTGTTCGATACCCAGATGTTCAGATCAGGTCAGCTTTCTGGTCGTTTCGGATCTGTCTTGGCGTTTCGGATCGTATTCGGTAGGTCCCAGACGCTTCCGTCGACCCTCACCTTTTTCACGAAGGGGGGCTATACGTATTGTTGGTTCGAAGCGAACGTGGTGGGAGAGGTCGATGATGAGAGCACGCAGCAATATTTTTTGGACTTTTGAGTTATATACAGTTATATAGTAGCGACTCCCTACCAAAGACTGCATTGGAGGATCCTGGTGTGGATTTCGAGTGCTGGGATTGGGAAGCTGCTGTTGATGAAATCGATGCCGCCTTCGGCAAACTGCAACTGCAGGACAAAAGATGATTCCTCGCTATTCCAGAATAGGAACTCAAGTGTTTGGGAGTTCGAAGATCCCTGGTCGCACCATGTGCACGGTCAGTCGTTCTGGTTGCAACCCTGGCAAACGACCGTGCTGCAACGACGAGTGGACCAACGAGATTTGCTTCCGGTCTCGTTGACCTGCCGTCGTCCATGGAGTCCCCAGGAGCCCTCAGGAGCCCAGGGCGTGACCAAGCTTTCTCCCGTGGTTCGTTCACTGCGGAGAGGCTGGCGGAGCGTTTCCCCGAGATTTGCCGCTTTATCGATGCTGCGGTCAACGACCATGGCGTGGTCTATGTGCACTGTGGGGCAGGCGGGCAGGTGCAGCAGTGCGGCTTGAGGAGTGGGGCGAAGGTGTGTTTCTTTGGTTAAAGTGTTCCAAATAGATCTAAATAACTGATAGCTGCCATGTGGGGGTGGCCTACGGTTTTTTGGGAGCAAAGAACCACCTTTAAATTGCCATAGCCACCGCAGCTTTCACTAAACCACACAACTCTTTCAGAGTATGCTCCCTATAGACAGCTCTTCAGCTTTTGGAGTTGGATGGAGTCCGTATGTTTTCCTTCTACAGGGACTTCTTTCCTCGTTCCTGTACCAGGAGACCCGTACGGGGGGGGAGACCCCGGTGGCTACCGGGGTGTCTATTAACCACCCCTTAGGATCCAAACAACACCCCTTGGGTCTTCTGGTTCAAACGACATCGCCTCGAGTGGATCGCAGGGATCTCTCGCGCACCGACGGCCACCGCCAGCTGCTGGGATGCAGAGGTGATCCACAAGGGATGGCTCTAAGTAGTGGGATGGACATCTATTCACAAGCTAGTTTGGTCTTCATCCGGCATATGGGTTTCAACCATTTTCAACCTACATAGTGCCATATGTAAGACTACTCCGCAGGTTTTTTTCCCTATCAAGGAGAAGGAGTCAGTGTTTTTTGTTTTTCATACCGGGTGTTGACCATAGCTCACTTGCGACAAAACTTGCATTCATCCGCACATTTCCATTCAAGTCTCCCATTGGATTTGGTGCGGGGGATCAGGAACAGGAGGAGGACGGAGGAATTCCTCCCAAGTTACTCGAGTTGCAACACCTAATTCTGGAGGTTTTCTCCAAGATTGTGTTAGGCAGTGAACAAAACACCTCCCTGGAACAAGTTGTTAACAACCATCCTCCCCCCATCACTCTGGAGGATTCCTCCCATAAAAAAGCCCCTCCCGGCGAAAACCTGCTTCGCCAGATGGAGATTCCCCCGCCAAACTTCAGTCAAACCACTAGCCCTCTTTCGCTCCATGTTCCATGCTCTGCACTTAGCTAGTCCATGCAACACCTGGGTCCAGGTTTCCACCTCCACCGGAGTCACTGCCAATGGGGTGCGAGAACCTCCCCCCTATTCCCCCACCACCCGTCCCGCCCCTTTTTCACGCCAAGCTGTAGGCTACATCATGTGGAAGCTGGGCCTCTCTGCTCCAGTGGCCCTGCGCCTCATCCGCGCCGCGCGGCCCTGCGTGCGGCCCAACCTGGGCTTTGCCAGGCGAAAAAGCGGCGCGTTTGGGCCGGTTGGATGGGGGGTGTGAAGTGGAACGGGAGAGATCGCCCTGCAGCAAAGAAGCTGTCTCGGCGACAAGTGCCCAAGAGTGCACCTTTTTTGAGAGGTTGCTTTGTTCTTCCCAAGCTGCAGTTGTCTGATCAAGAACTTAATTCCAGTGAAGGTGCTTTATATATTGCAGAATGTGACATTCTTTGGTGCACCAAGCTGCCATCCTCTTGTCGACTTTTCCGAATCCGCCAGGGAGCTTCGAAAGTGGGTGCCCCGACCTGGGAGTTGAAGGCGGTTCGGGGTGCCCGGCCGGGACCTTCCGTTGCTTCGGTGCGGTGGTTGATCCGAAGGAGGAACTCGGTGGTTCAGGAGGACGCCTTGGACTCTGGCGATGGACTCATCGGTTTTGGGAATCCGGATGACAGGGGGTTTGGAGTTTGGAGGGTCCAAGGGTCCGGGGTCACCTGCAGATGTCATGGAGATGTGATCGTTCTTCTTGGCCATCGAAGTGATTCACCATCACGGGAGGCCACCGCAGCAGATGTTGACAGGGTCAGGTGCCCAAATTCCATTCGGGGATGTTTTCCGGAGTCCTACAAACACGGGAAATTGCCAGAGTCCACCAAAAGGGCATGTATTAAAATTGGGAGACCTCCCTGTTCGACTCCCTGGCAAATCGAAGAAAAGTCGACCCAGAAAAAGGGCCACGAGATCTTTCTATAGCTGTAGGTGGTGTTTCTCAGGTTCCAAAAAATGACGTTTCTCCGAGGAGAAGACGATGGAAGAGCTGGACGGTTATGCCTCGGGCGCCCTTTGGACGTGAGCGCCGCAGCATCGAAGATGCCGCACGCGATGGCCACGAGGGTATTCCCGGGCGACGTGCCACAGGAATAGACCTAGGATCTGATGGAGATGCTGTGATGGACCAATGAGTTGATGACCTAGAGGCACAAACCACTGTGAGCTGCATGGAGTGGTGAGGTGAATGGAACAACAGAAGTTGCCGCCTGTGGGGCGACAACTAGGCATTCCAGTCGGCTTTCTTCTTTGGAATAGCTTCAAGAATAATAGAGTGGGCACCGGGCAACCTCTCTGGGAATCTTCTCTGCGAGCCTGCAAGCTGGGACCAATCGCAGCATGAAGCCATCGACTTTTGCAAAGTTCTTGCTGTCAGAATTTGGTTGCGAAAGGTGGAATGGATCTTGAGACCCACAAACATGAATGTGGATGGCCTGCCGCAACTGGAGGGTATCCTCATGGTGAGACCTGGGCCGCACCGATCGGATACCCTGGCCGGGCCGTTTCTGCTTCGCAGGGTTTCCGACCTCTCGAGGTCGTTGGGGTGGGTGGAGCCACCGGCCGACCGACCGCTTCGCGCCCAAAGTGTGGCGACGACGTGACGTCGCGGCGCGCGTTAGTTCGCATGCTGAATTCAGGTCTCCAAGAGATGAGACCTGTGAATCGAAGGAACCATTTGAAGCATCAAATTCTTCGAGCGCCCAAGGGAGGGGGGAGAAGTTTTTCTTGGTGGGGTTGAAAGCTGAAACGAGAAATCTGAACCCTTGGATCAACCTCCTATGATATATTTCCCAGCACGGATAATGGTTCTTGAAGGAGCATAGATAACATGTAACTATTCTCAGTAGATGCCGTGACTAGTCAACACTGCATGCAGTGTTGCTATGTGGCCATGAGTCCAAACGTTTTGGTATGGAACATGTACTCTTGAACATCTCGTTCCATACCCCGTTCCATACCTGTGGAACAGCATGTTTGTTCGCCGTTCCATACCCATCGTTCCATACCTATGGACTCCTAGTTTACAATTGTTCGAGGTTCAATCAAAACGTGCGCTTTGCTTGCTGAAATACATTTACCGTGAGAAACGGGACTGAGATGACACGTCAGGTTTTTTGGTACAATTTGTTCCATACCCCGTTCCATACCTGTTCCATACCTTATGGAACAAGGGATCCGTTCCATACCCTATGGAACAGGAAGGTGCGCGATGTTCACCTGAGACCCGGGGTTTTGACGCACACCCATGTGTTGCTTTGGTTTTGTTGCCGCGTGGCGTGGCGCGTTTCGTCTCGTACACTCATTTGCCAGTCGATGAGTCCATCCAATAGATATCATGCGGTGGCATCTCGGCATGCGACATGGTCCTTTTGTTTGAGGGGACCCGGGACCAGGGCACTCATTTAGCCATGCGTGCTGACGGTCGGGACACTAGTTGAGCCATTCTCGAGGAGAAGTGCCGGAATACCATCCATTCTCTTCTTCCCGACATAACAAAGGGACTGATCTGAATCATGTGGAAGCCAGCAACCACCTCCCTTCTACCCGCTATGGAGCGGTCTTGCGCAGCTTTTCGAGGCTTCCCCTGGGGTGAGCTCACACAGCAAGGTGCTGATGAGATGATGCGTCAGGTGGGGATGGCGGGAAGAGCCCTGACGGTCGCGTCTTTGTTTAAGAAAAATGGGTGAGAGAGGTGAAGCAAGACGCTTGTTGAATGTCTTGCTTCAGTTGATTCTCGTCACATCCAAATCATCATTAATATTCTGGTCATCCTTGATGTATTATACGCTATGAACCCGCACGAGTTCCAAATATCCAAGTTGCCATTCGCGAGAGAGACCATCGTGTGGTCTTCGCTCTGAAGCGAAGTTTTTCGCGTGACCTTCCCCCGAGATCGGGCGGAACTCCCTGTGACGTGCACGTGAACGAAGCCACGCCAATTTTGACGATGGAGCAAGACCACTGCTTCGATCCGTGACGTGGAGGGAGCGAGAAGACCCGGTGGAAGACCCTTGCAGCTTAGCTCAGTCTTCCCGGAGGTGTCGGGAACGGACCGTCCCGTCCCGAAAGCGCCTCGACGTCGGTCGCGTGGCACGGCGGGGGTGAGAAATTCGGTGGCGCACCGCTGCAGCGTTCGGTCGCACACATACGAAGAATGACACTTTCGACCACTGGGTTAGAGTAGATGGACTCCAAAAGCTTTCAACAACGGAGATGTCCTACATCTCCCTGTCTCTCCAAGTCTTTCGGCCGAAAAAACAAATTATCCCGGCAAGAGACCCCAAACAGTGTGTGTGAGGTCTGTAAATAGAAAGTCTAGAGATCTAGACGCATTGGGGTCCAGAGAGGTGATGGTGGTGATGAAGTGAAGGTGGGTGTGAGTGAGTGTGGATGAGAGGGAGTGTGAGTGTGAGTGAGAGTGGGAGAGTGAGAGTGGGAGAGTGAGAGAGTGAGCATCTGAGAGCACAAAGTATTGGGCCTGCCACGAAATCTGCACTTCGAGGTTCACCATGCGCTGTGCCTGCCACGAAGTCTGCACTTCGAGGTTCACCATGCGCTGTGCCTGCCACGAAATCTGCACTTCGAGGTTCACCAAGTGCTGCGCCTCCCAAGAAATCTCGACTTCGAGGTTCACCAAGTGCTGCACGTGCCACGAAATCTGCACTTCGAGGCTCCGAGGTTCACAAGGTGCTGTGCCTGCCACGAAATCTGCGCGTCGAGGGTCACAGAGTGCTGTACCCGCCACGAAATCTGCAAATGAGCCACGTGTCCAAAAGTCACGATTCACTGCACCTGTCACGAAATCTGAGCTCCTCGACGATCACCACCATGTCCAAAGCGCTGTGCCTGCCACGAAAACTGCATTTCGAGGTAAAACACCTCCGATCCCTTGCGCCTGTCACGAAAAGTCGACTTTGGAGCACCAAAACACGAGGTTTCCCTTGCGCCTGCCACGAAAAGTGGCCACCATGTGCGAAAATGCGCGCGGGCGGCGCCACAACGAGACTAGAAACACCCGCCGGGGGCCCCCAGATTCTGCGAGCCTGCGCAGTCGCAATGCACATTGATGATGTTGAGAGGCATGAATGTACTGTAAATAGCAATGAATTAGCCGTTCACGCCCGCGCGCTTCAGCGATCTAAGCATCTGCTGCTTTTCACTTACCGTGAGAACCCCTCAGTGTGCCCACACTGTTTGGGGAATAATATATATATATTACAGAAGAGTTCGGCCAGAAAGAAGGTTCAGACCAACGGCCTACACGTTGAGGCACGTTGAGGTTCGTCATCGCCCACCCACCTGAGTCCCTTCGAGCCCCGGCAGGGCCAGCGCTGCGCCAGGGATTGGTCGGTGGATTTGTCGAAGGCCCAACACTGGGTGGACGAGTTCAATGTGAAATGTGGATGTGGAGCGCGATGGAGTACTCAATCATTTGAAGGACAACATCCGCTTTTTACAGTGCAGTTGTTGTGCTGTCTGGAGTCTTTCTTTTTTTGCAGATGATCCCTCCAGAGGGTGGCTGTTTCACGAGCGATTCGGCGCCTGGAGCCGATGAAGGATTCGGTCGACGGAGGTCAATACCCAGGCCCCACAAATGGTGTGCTTTCATAGACTGAGAGTCATATGAAATGACAGACGCCACTCGACGCTGTTCGTACCACCGCTGTTCGACCAGTGATGGTGGACCTCACGAGTCTGGGTGGACCTCATGGTAGAATGCCTTGCTCATCTTCTTGAGCCCCAAACGATCTGTATTGCGGGACAGATGAAACCAGTACTCAGTACTCTACCGTTCCAGTACTCAGTACTCAGCTCATAGGGACGGTTTGCAACTCGTCGTACTCTCAGGACATACAACATCCATACAGTGCTCAGAATGGTAAAGGGATACAGATGGATCTAGAGTTGATGGTGAGAAAACCTCCCTCAAGAGCGACGGTTGTGTACCCAATCTGGCACTTTCTCGACATTTTGCTCCAACAGGTGCTGCTGCGGGCAGCCAACCGAGCCAGCTGTATATCTTCTGCACAGGCACGGGCAGACAGGGGCTTCCGCTTTGGCTTTTATGGACCCAAACAGGGGAACATGCTCAGGCTTTTGTCTTTATGTTCCCTTGTACAACTGTGTTTCGGGAGCACCCTACCTTCAACTTTCAACCCCACTTGTGCCTTGACCTCTTGGTGTTGAAAGCAACTCATGCCAACCTCGCTTTGAACCAGAGCAGTGAATTGGCCTTCGCATGTCGCATGTGGAGTAAGATGAAGATGCGTTGCCAGGCCTTTGCACTTGGTGGACGGCCAAAGCAGGAACCCGTCGAACCACTTCGTCAGGAACCCGTTGAGGCGGATCGAGCAGGGATCGGCCTCCAAAGTACCGCTCAAACGAGATCATCAAGATTCCAAAGTACGGAGGATTGCAGGGGCCGCGATCCCGTTCAGTTTCCCCTTTTTTCTTCTCAGGATCTCCAACAATCACCAGTGTCCGAGTTGTTTTATTTTTTACTTGGTTGTTTTAGTTGGCAATACCTACCTACCCCTCTTGCAGGGCCAGGGGCGTTCGGGCAACACAAAGAAGTGTTCAGATCAGATCTCCTGAAGTTTATCAATGAGATCTTACAATGTACCAGGACCTTCAAAGTGACCTCTTTGGAGTCTCTAAGTGACCTCTTTAGGGACTAAGTGACCTCATTCTAGGCTCTGAAAAGGTAACTTTGCAGGTCCTGGTAGATCTCACCACCTGTTGTGTTCAATGAGATCATGAAGAAACCTACGTTCAGATCACATTTCAGAAGCGTTCAGATCAATGCGGTCTGTCTTCATTGGGTTTGCCCGTTCTTACCTGCAACAGTCAGTAAACAAGAACATCACTAGTTTTGAACAAGGCCTTTACTAACCATCATCATCCACTGGGCCCAGGTAATAGGATAGACCCAATGTATGCCGCCTTTCTTGTTTCACCTACCCTTTTTTTAGGAGATGGATAGGTGGATGAGGCCTTAAACATCTGGCCGATGTTCATCATCCCTCATCACTTCGGCCCCACGGAAATTCGGATAGGACCCAAGTGATGAGGGAGACCCCGTGAAGGAATTCACTTCTGGGTCTGCATTCAGATCGGTCGCAGGTGCACGCCTCGCTTCGTTTCCGCCCTGAGGGATGACATAGAAGACCCATTCTAACAAGGGTCTTCTCTATTTTGGCAACATCCGCGTGATCAGAGAGGCTGTGTAGCTTTGGAGATGGATCCAAGCTCGCCGAATGCAAGGTGCTTCTGCAGCGCGGGGAAGCCTTGCTCCCCCAGCAGTCGCCAGAGACGGCGGAGGCGCGGGCCAGGTTTCTGCCTCATTATTGGATGAAGAGGTCTTGTCTTGAAAGGTGCTGGCGCTGGCTCAAAAAAAAGCACCCACTGAGCTTGCTGCACATAATGGCCACTTGGATTGGAGGCATAGAATTTTTACAAAGCTGTGGCTGCAACTTGGAGACCACCAGGCACGATGAAGCCAGAATGACTCGAGATTAGAGATCCGAACTACAGTACTTTTTTTCTTTTGCATTTTGTATTCCGATGACTCCACTTTCTGCAGACATTGTGGTGGACTTGGGAGTCAATATAGTAGGCATATATAGCGTGCGTGGAGTGTCTGAGATTTTGTATTCCGATGATTGCCGCTTTGTGGAGCGATCGGTGCATGATCACAGAAAAACACCTGGTGATTTCGGCTGTTCAGGTGCGATCTCCAGAGTTGGCTCAGGAGATTCGGCAGAACCTGGGGCTTGAAGGCAGGATGTTTGGTGGGTGGGTCGTGGGTCGTGGGTCGTGTCGTGGGTCGTACCCAGATTTGGGTCGTGCGCGCAAGCCGAGCCCTGAAAGATCCAACCAAAACGGCCAACGAGTCCAGTTGTGCTTCTTCAACGGCGGGGAAGGCAGGCGCCTTGGCGGTTCTTCGGGTGTCCAAACCTCCTCAACTTGGTCCATAGAGTCCAGTGTTCCAAGGAGTTCGTTCCTCTATAGTGAGATGTGTGGGGCCAAGAGCAACCATCTGCCGTGAAATTGGAGCAAAAAACACCTCTGACCTTGGCCTTGGCTTCAGCTTAGGACGTCGAAGTCCGTCATTTCGAGGGAGAAGACTGCTGACAAAAGTAAAAACTATGGGAGTCAGAAGTGCTGGACAGAATCTGCATAGATGCTTCAGCTTCAGCTTCATTTGGCTACTTCACTCAAGCTTCACTTCTTCCGTCCTCAGCACACATCGGCCCCGCACCGGCCGAACAATGGCTTCCATGGCGCGGCAAAGAACCGGCCACCCCGGCCACCTCGCACTCGGCTTGCTCGGAGTGAGCGCGCTTGTCTGGTGGCTCCAAGGCTCCGTCAGCGCGGCTCCTTTCGTGGGCCCGCGCCACCCAGCGCCGGGCGTCGGCGTCGGGAAAAGGAGCTCCAAGGTGAGGAGGCCAGCGAGGGACGGGAGTGCGGAGCGGAGCTGACGATGCTGACGGGGAGCCGAAATTGAGGGAGAAAGAGGAAGGTCCGCCCATTCAGCTGAAATTGACATTCTTTCCCAAGTTCCAACTTCTTGCCTTCGGAAAACAACAGAAAAAAGTATATGAAAGACATGTTTCATCATGTTTCCTTCAACCACCTCACCCCCCTGAGTGGCGTCTCAGCAGACTGACGCCGCGTATTCAGTAAGGCATGATCTGCCAAGTCGCGGGAACGGCGCTGCGCCGGCGGTTGCGGCTCCACAACCCCCTGCTGCGAAGTCGTCCAAGCCACGAGTACCACCGGTGCCGATGCCCTTTGGCGACGTGAACGTTGATATGACCATGATGCGCTTCAGCCACTTCGTGCCCAGGTGGGATCGATCGAAAAGGGGCAAAACCACCGTTGATGTTGAGCGTTTTTTGTTGACTGGCCTGCCGAAGTGCCGAAGAGCCGAAGAGCTTCCATGTCGAAATGCATCAGGTAAAAACCGCATTAGGTCTTGAGAAACCTCAGTTAGATCAAAACAGATCACAACAAATGCAAAGGTTGGGTAATTTCAGTTGAGAAGAACCTGCAAAAACGGTGATACCTGCTTGGAACTGGACCCTTCCGTGGCGTTTTTTACGAAGTCTTGTACCGTCCAAAAGCATATAAAAGCCGCCCGGTGGTATCGCTGAGTGTTTTTTTTTGAAGTCCCTCGTGCCGTCGGAAAGGCTCTACAACTTTTGCCGTGACTTGGGAATGACCAAAGGCCGGATCATGCCTTCCATCGGCTTCTGTGCGGATGAGCACCTGGGCCGGTTTCCAATGACTCGGGGCAAACGGATGATGCGGTACGGTGCCGGGCGGGGGTGGTTTCCCGTCCGGTCTGTGTTGGAAACAGACCGAACCAAACACGTCGATGGGTTTTGCAGCGAAGGTCCAGGTGCAGTCATGAGAAATGGAACTTGGGTGAAGGAGACAGAGCGCCAGATCGGGCTGTGCTGTGCAGAGGAATAAACACTTCCCGAGTTGATTTTTTAAATCTGGGTGCCAGATTTATTTGCATGGCTCCAACCATTCCAAATGAAGTGGTAGTACAATGTTGTAAGTAGTGAGGGTTTTATTGATCCTTTTCTATCCTTTCCTGAGAAGCGAACTTCCTCAGAATCAATCCACTTCAATAATGAACCTGTTGATTGTTGGGGATCTGTTGTTCGCCTGGGGTGTTTGGTTTGGGGAAGGGGCTTGGCTCACCCCAAACACCTGTCATGACATTACAGACCAAAACCAAGGTCTCGTGACTCTCACAACAAGCAGCAAAACACGGGCAAAACAGGCAAAGGCAAACGGCAAAAGCTGCAAAACACATACCAGGACCTTCCAAGAGGTGTCTATAAATAGCCTCTTAGAGCTTAAGGAGTGTCCAAAAACCACCGGACTTGGAAGGTCCTGGTACAAGCCAACTTCCTGTCCAGGGCGCCCTGGATCCTTTTGGCAGCAGCCCTGGATTTTTACTTAGACTTCGGTCACGCAACGTCGCCCACTTTGCTGAGGAACCAGGGCTTTCCTGCCATCACCATCACCAAGCATTTCGGTGCCTACCCCTTCACACATGGCTATATCGGCGGCGTCATGGTGCCCTGGCGGACGAGCTCGGCAAGAGAACCGCGGCGGTATTTTCTTTATTTTTCTTCTCGGCGTCCGACATAGATAGGGCCGCAATGTATTGAACATCGCTTCATTTCCGACAGTGAGTTTCGCGGAATTCATCGCCGGTCCCGGCGACAGGCTCCTCCTGCTCCTTGAAAAAGGGCAACACTTATGCTGGAGCATGGCTCAGTGCCATGAAAGTGAAACAACACCTCGTTACTCATGGCAGTTCCCATGGGGCCACACCCAGTGCCCTGCCTGACCCCCCAGGTCCATCACTGGTTCAGTTAGTTCTGTTTTCGGTGTTGGCACCTCTACGACTCCGCAGGTCACGCGGGTCGCGGATCTTCAATCATGTGGACGAAGCGTGTGTAAGCAGGGAGCAGGGCGCGTTTCAGCAGGTCGCGGATCCTATAAAGGAGCACACCGACAGGTCGTCTTTGCTTTTTTTCATCCATCCGTCTTCCGCCCAGCACGTCCTATGAACCGAGCCGTGCGGATCCGCGGTGCGGTGCGGATCCGCTGGGCCGTGCGGATTCGCTGGGCCGGGCGTGGGTACTCGGGTGGTTTGGAGCGAGCCAAGTGCGTTGGCTCGCCTCCTCCCAGTTCTGGGTTCGAGTTGTACTGGTTTCTGATCGTTTTCTTTGCGTGGTGTCCAAAACCCTACACCTCCAGTCGTGCCTCAGGTTCAGTATGACTGGACCCTCCTGGCACCCCCAAACCCCTCACTCAGAAGGTACGACTGACTGGAGGCCTAGGGACGTTCGACGACTGGAGGCCCTTGATCGTCATGGCCCCCATGCTCACCACGGTGACGACTTCGTGATCATCCACGCCCCACACGTGGGCTACGATCCGGAGACCGAGACCTATGGCGTCTATCGCAGGTCGGTTGACCCAGCATGACGGGAGGGAGTGTGAGGAGTGGGGAGACTTCGTGGAAACGATGGGAAACATCGGATTTCACCACCCAGGACGGTGTTGGGAGAGATGGTTTAAGCACAGGCCGACACATGAGCCGACACATGAAAACGGCTTGATCGGACTCGCGGGTCGAAAAGCTGTTTCTTATCTTTTTTAATGGAACACTCTCTGAACATGAGGAGGGTGTGAAGAGTCAACGATGCTGATAGACCGTGTGATCAACAGATTCTGTATCATTCCGCTGTCCTATCAGTAAGGTCATTCTTCATGTCCAATCTCAGCAGATGGAACAACCCCCGATTTCAAAGACGGATGTATCTCCAGTGGAACTTTGATTTTCTTTGAGACAGGGCATTCGTTTTTTCAGGCGGTTCACTGTTCTTGGTGTTTTCGTATGCCTGGATTCACTCCTTATGCTTAGGACCTTCCCAGCGACCCTTTGAGATCCCAGTGGCTGACACCACTTAGGCCTGTAAGTTCGGTCACTTACCAAGCCTGAAGCCTTCGGTCGAAACCCAACGCCTTCCAGCTCCAGGCGGCAGGTGGCCGACCCAGAGCATTCTATGTCGACCTGCTGTGGGAAGGTGGCTGGTACTTTGGCACCCTACATCGACAGCTATGAGAAAGCGCTGGGGCGCATCAGCGTACGCGAAGCCAAAGATGGAGTCTTGGGAAGGGCCCGGGCCGACCCTTTTTTTTCCGAAACACTGAAACTTTTGAGGTTAGGGGGAACAACATCTTCTGAAAAGCCCATGATCATACACTCCGACTTGCTAATATGGAAGTGGACAACCCCCTGTTCGTAAAGGAATGTCGTTTTCGAAAAAGGAAATCCACTGCCATGTTAGTCATTGTTAGTCAGTCAGAGTGTACCATACTCATCCCAGTCCAAAATGGTTGATGGTTCTTCGATCCTTCATGCGACCCGTTGGAACTCCCATCTGTCCGGCCTATATGTGGGGGCGGGGGTGCGAGCCCATGTCACACCCACCTGGTGCCAAACACCTCGTTTCAAGTGGGTTCAATCCGAGAACCCGCATGGTCCATCTGGGAGTGATCACGTCCTTTCCTTGAACCAAACTCCGCGCCAGCCCCGTCCGGCGGCGTCCGGTGGCCCCGTGGCGTCAGGAGTGGTTTTGGTGAACATTGGCAACTCGCTGTTGAGCGAGGAGGACGACTTGGGCATTGCTTTGAACTTTGATCGGCTTTTAGAACCGGATGCTTTGGAGAATCCCCTGCTCTTGCAGAGCACCTCGGTGGTGTATATCGCCTCCGCAGAGTTCAGCGGCCTGTACCACGCGACGAAGACGACACCCAAAACCTCCAAAGGGGAGGGCCAGAAAGCACAAACCCTGTGGGAGTTGGATGAGCGATTGGCTTGGAGGCCCTTAACGGATCCCAGCTTAAAGCAGCTCTTAAGCCAAGAGTTCTTCTCCTTTAAGAAGAAGCCAGAGGATCTACCTGGAGAGGCTGGACGCTTCGAGAGGACGCTCTTGCCCCACTTGCCCTTTATCATCACATCTCCCTACGCTCCAGACTTCACAGCAGCTCTGGTGATCATGCAGTATGAGTTCGACCGTGGAGTGCAGTCTATTGTGACCTCTCCTGCATACAAGGACGACCTCTCAGACTCCTTTTTTTTCGGTTTCGAAAGAGGTCCGCTGCGTGTGGGTTCAACGGAAGTAGAGAAGTCCCTCCAAACCAATGGGGATTGTGGACATGCCAGCTAGCAGCTAGTAGTCCGTTTTGTTCATGGTCTCGGGAATATTGAACCCAGCCTTTATCGGACGCCTCCTATCTTAAGAAGTGTGGTTTCCCAGCTTGACTACCGAGCATATGTTTGAAACACGCATCAAATCCCCCAATTCCGACGCAAACATGTCGGTAGAACGTACCGAGGATTTTGGGGGGATCAGAAACCGATGATTTCCTGTGGTCTCCAGCCGTTTTGGACGATCTCTTTTCAGACCGACCTGAGCAAGCCAAGCTCCACTGCCTTTCAGAAGCCGCCTCTCAGGGAGATCGCTTCTCCCTCCCAAAAAGCACTGTGTGGAATCCGTGTGGAATCAGTTTTGGGGTCGCCGTCCTCTTTTCCGCGAAGCCCTACGTTAGCTCGTGCCCTTTCTTTTTCTTTTCCTTTAAGCCTGGGAAGAGCCGACATCTAAAGACATCCAAAGACACCCAGGCCAAACAAGCGCCTTCCAATCCGGGCGTCACCGTCCTGTCCTTTCACCGATGCTTCCCGGAGCCTTCGGATTGGGTAAAGAGAAGAGCAGAGGGTGGTTGTCACAGGATCGGAACTGCATGCTGATCTCCGGGCTGAATATTGATGTGGCACCAGCCGCCAATGACCTCGAGGCGCACCCGCCAGGGTTGGATTAAGCACAGCAAAGCTTTTTGGGGTGTCCGAAGTCCTGAATGAGCATTTCAAAGGACCCAAGCACGCAAGCTTCTGAGCAGGGTCCTCATTGGGTCTTCGCTTGACCCACGTGTCTGGCATCTTTCTTCCATCTTATGCCACAGACTGTGCAACGATGCCACGGATTCAAGTGGCTCCAAGAACGGATCATGTTCTTCTTGATGTTCTTGGAACAACAACCCAACAACCCAACAACCACGGTCCATGTTGTTCTTGATGTTGTTCTTCTTGATGTTCTTGTTGTTGTTGGGTTGTTGTCGAAGAAATCAATGATTGGAGATGTTTTCGTTTTCTTTCAGGCATTCCCGCAGACGATGTTCCTTCCTTGGGCTGCCTACGTGCAGTTGGCAGATGGTACCCAGCGTGTCATCGAGCAAGACGCTTTGGTGACCCTTTTGCACAAACAGCCTCTGGAGAATAAGGACAGACTTGCGGACACCTTGTAACAAGATAGCTGATACCAAACATAGGATGATACGAAGCTTTTTCGTCCTTTTCCGTCGTGTGGGGCTGGCTGCCAGGCGTATTTTTCATTGAACGAAATACTGAAATCCTCCACCACTCGCTGCGAACTGCTCCTTCCCCCCCTTGGTGAACCATTTGACCCTCAAAAAAGCACCTTTTCCCCTCCAGCTGTCGGACTGGACTTGCTTGGCCGCTCGGCTTCTTCGACCTGCCGCGTGAACATCGACCGTGGCGTCCAGAAAGCTGTGTGCACGGAAACGGTGCGATAAAGCGGCTTATAAAGTTAACAGTTAAGCCGCTCGAGTAACAACACGAGAAGCTCCTCATGATGGCCAGCCAAAGGTAATAGGCTAAAGGAGCTGCATGGACCTGCAACGATGGAGGAACGGCCCAGCTGTTCCATTTTACGACCCAGCCGGCAAGTTGCAAAGCAAGCAGCCCGGGCATACACGGCTCCACGGACGTTACGCATCTGTCGAGCTCGAGTTGAGTCGGAGGGTCGTTTTCGAAGAGGGCGGAGTTCCGCCGGTTCTCCGGTTGGCGCGGCGTTCGTTTGCCACGTCCTCTCGACCCTTGGTGATTGGTTTCGTGCCCTATACCCTCAGGTCTTTCCGGTTTTTCCGGTCGCTGGCCTTCTTCCCCGGCTGGTGACGTTTGGCTTCTTCGCCCTGGGTGACTCCTCGCACGAACGGAGACAGGTCTCCACGAAAGGCCACCGTTTCATACGACGCGCGTGAGGACGCCATTGAGCTGGAGCGAGGCTTTGCGGCTTTGGCGACCCACCAGATGAAGAGGACGTTTTTCTTTTTGATCTGGAAAAGCGACCATGGCGGGATCAGTGACCCTGGCCCTAAACCCGCTGAAAATCAACCAGAAGCCCAATGGCGCGGATGTGATGGAAAGTCCTTTCGCGAGTGATACAAACCTGGATGATACAATTCAACAACAGTTCCCCCGCTTGTCAAGGGAAGTCTACAACAGATGGTTCGCATAGCAGACACGTACTTTTTCTACAGAATTTTGTGATTCCGCTCCAGGATGGTCTTCCACAACTCGCGTGAAGGAAAGCTGGATGAAGTTCGCGTGGTGTGAAACTTCGTTAGGACTAGGATTGTTGGGGACGAGAGAAGAATTCGTAATTCGTCCAATTCGTTATGGCAGGCACCAGTATGAGCATAAAGTTGGAGAAGCACTGTTTGCAAAGACGAGCAAGAACCATCCCGCAGTTCGAGAAAAAGTAGAGCCCAACATGTTTTTGACTGGTGAATGGTCTAGAGTCTAAGTCAAATGAGTGCTTTTCCTTGCTTTGTGTCCAGCCTGGTGTCGTGTCATGTACAAAAGCAAGTTATAGTTATAGGCCTCTCGTCCTTCTTCGGCCAGAATGCCTAGCCGCGGCCAAATCAGTCGTTCTTGAGACCAAGTGCAGCAAAGTGCGTCCAGGGCGACGAGGGTTTGACCTTTCCAGAGGGCCACAAAAAGGCATGACTCAATGGAGTCGATGGGTTGAGAACTTGAACCCAAAAAACACCAGGAGTTCAGCAGTTCAGCGACAGAGCCCCGCAGCTTAACGGTGGGGTGCAAGCCCCTGCGTGGTGCCCAATGGAATCTCCCCTGTGCAAACTCCGTTTAAGTATAAAGTATAGTAACTATATATAGGTAACATTCTTACTCCACAAGTGGCGAGAGGCCATTTGAGTGTTTATTAGTTAGGGAGACTTTGGAAGAAAGGACACCCACACACCAAACATTATTAATCGTGGGCCAACAACTTGTTGTCCGGAGCACCCATGATGACTAGGTCCTCCACGGCAGGCGAAGAGGAGCAGTCTGAGCTTGCACGCCGTGGCATCCTCAGAGTGGTCCAACCTACTGGCGATGGCCTCCAACCTACTAGAGATGGCCTTGAACAACTGCTTTGCGTCAAGATAAACAAGCCCAGGTCCAGTCCTTTGAATGCCCACACGACCCTGAACCACTTGAAGGGTCAAAACCACGACCCTGTTTCCCTGTTGGTGAAGAGACGTTTTCTGCTTTTCGGACATGGCTCGACAGGGTCAACCCAGGGGGGCTTGTCTCCGGGCGGCGCTTCATGAGGCTTGTCCGATGAAGAGAACTTGCTCGAAGCTGTGATGAGCTTGGGCTTGCGAGGTGCCTTTTTCACCCGGTGCGTCGGGCTGGGCGATGCGATGTGAACGCGGGGTCGAACACCCGTCGGACGTACCCTCAATGGAAAGAACAAAGAGTTCAACCCAGATGAAGACGAAGCAACCAATTTCATCTCCACTTCCTTTTCCACCCAACCCATCGGTTCGATCCTCCTGCGCGCGTAGGCGAAGGGGTGGTCGCCCTGCAGGACTCCGTTGCAAGGCCTGTGTTTGGGGAGCCAATGGACCTTGGGAGACATTGAGGGAATCATGTTGTGACTCACCTTGTGACTCAGTGCACGGACACGGACACCTGAGTCGGGGCTTTCTTCGTGACAACCGCCCGCACCAGTGGCTCTCAGAGAGAGGGTAAAGGGTAAAGGAAGTAGCTATGTCTATAATCACTCTATTTTTGGACCATTTGATACATAGTTTAGTTCTGTCTTACTTGCCTTTTGCAAGCATTGTTGGATCTATTTTTCGCCCCCCTTGAAATTGTACATATTCAAGGGGTCGAAGAATGGAGTGATTGTGTACAATAAACTACAAGTTTATACAATGTGCATGATCGCGACAAAACTTAGAGATGAACGCAGAAGTATCTGCAATCACCCTATTGCAACTTATGTTTTACTTGCATCTTGGATGTGCATTTTTTCAGGGGTTCAAATTATATCCAACAATGTTTGCACATGAATGTAATTTGGACACCCAGAAAAGAGTACAATTTCAAAGGGTCAAAGACTAGAGTGAATATATTGTACATATTTATGTACGAGAGACCCCCACGTATAATATAACGTACTATTTCTTCTAATATATTATCATGCTATATATAAAAGGAAACTTTACGTTATATAAAACAAATTATATTAAATAACGAAAACCAATTATCGAAACCAATTATTTCATTTTTTATATTCTATTTTTTAGTTTTTTAGTTTTGCAGCCTTGAAAAGAAAAAAACAAATATCTTTTTTAGTTTTGTGGCCTTTTTTAAACAAAAAAAACTAAGACAAATTAAATCCTTCAGGTTTCAAGTTTTCCAGGTATTTAGAAATTCTAAAAAAGAAAAAAAACTAAAAAGAAACTAAAACAACTACATATTTAGGTTTTTTAGTTTTGCGGCCTTTAAAAAACCAAAAAACAAAAAACAACAAATTATTAGGTTTTTTTGAGTTTTGCGGCCTTAAAAAGAAACTAAAAGAACTAAGTCCTTCAGGTTTCAAGGTTTCCAGGTATTTAGAAACTCTAAAACAACAAAAAAACCTCAAAAAACTAAAAAACTAAATATTTAGTTTTTTAGTTTTGCGGCCTTTCAAAAAAACTAAAAAAACTAAAAACTAAAAAGCTAAAGAACCTAAATCCTTCAGGTTTCAAGGTTTCCAGGTATTTAGACATTCTAAAAAAACTAAAAAAAATAAAAACACTAAATATTTAGTTTTTTAGTTTTGCGGCCTTAAAAAAAACTAAAAAAACTAAAAAAACTACATATTTAGTTTTTTTAGTTTTGCGGCCTTTAAAAAGAACAAAAACACTAAAAGACTAAATAGTTATTTTTTTTGTTTTTTTAGGTATTTTTTTCAATTTCTAAATACCTGGAAACCTTGAAACCTGAAGGATTTAATTTTTTTGGTTTTGTATTTTTTTAAGGCCGCACAACTAAAAAACTAAATATTTAGTTTTTTTAGTTTTGTTTTAACGGCCGCAAAACTAAATGAACTATATATTTAGTTCCCCAAACAGGTTTACCTGTGAGGGGTTCTTACTCCTTTTGAAGGGGTGCATGCTCGGGCCGGATGATTTTGAGTTTTTCTCCGGGCTTGTGTTCCTGGCCGCATGATTTCACCCTTGTCTCCCACTTGTCTCCCAGTAAGCTCTGGATGCTCTCAGTGCTCTGGCCGCATGATTTTGTACTTGTCTCCCATTTGTCTCCCATTTGTCTCGGACTTGTCTCCCAGTTGTCTCCCAGTAAGCTCTCGATGCTCTCAGTGCTCTGGCCGCATGATTTTATACTTGTGTCCCATTTGTCTCCCACTTGTCTCCGAGTAAGCTCTGGATGCTCTGAGTGCTCTGGCCGCATGATTTCACACT